CCAGGATTTGATCTTCTATGTCACTAATTCTTTCTTCTGCCTAATTTATCCTAGCAGTAAGAGCCTCCAGTTTTAATTGCACCTCATATTGATTAGGTCCTCAGCCATTGGTATTGCCTCTTGTTCTTTTTTTTTTTTTTTTTTTGAGGTGAGTTTTTCTGCCTTGTCATTTTATACAGATAAGAATAGATGAATCAGAGAACAAAACACTAAAAGGATAACAATGAACCCAGAAAAATATACAGTAACCAAATCAGAAGAGACATGAAACGGGAGGAAGAAAAAAGTAAAGAAAAAAATATAGATATAGATATAGATTGGATATAGATATAGATATAGATATAGATATAGATATAGATACTGGTGAATAGAACAGAGCCACACACTTGATTTTGGGGGTATTTTGGTCTGTTAGAAGAAACTGCTTTCCAAAATTCTAAAGAAAGAAATATATATATATATATATATATATATATATATATACACACATATACATATATACACAAAAAAAATTAAGGTAAACACAATGAGGTGATGCAATATGACTGTAAAGATGAAAATTTAAAAAGATTTTTAAAAAGGAGTTGATATGATAAGAAGTTGGTTGAAAAAAATGAAAAAAATTAGGAAAGAATGTAATCAGACTGGAGACTAGAACAAAGCCATAAGTGAGATTTAGGGTATATTTTGATCTGTTAGAAGAAACTGTATCCCAAAATTTTAAAGAAAGAAAAACGTATATGTATACAAAAAATAAGGTTAAATACAACAAAGGGATAAAATGAAAATTTAAAAACATTTTTAAAAAGTTATTGATAAGATAAAAAAGTTTAAAAATGTTAAAATGGAAAAGAGTAAACATTTTTAAAAAATAGAATAAGAAAAAAATAAAATTTAAAAAGTTTAACTTTGAAATATTAAAGAATCATGGGGAAAAAGCCATGAATTCTATGTGTTGTATTTCCCTAGCTCTGAAGTTTTGCAGTTCTCATTGATCAGTGCACTTGATCTTGGCTGGTTGTTCTTGCTGATCATCTTGGGGAGGGACCTGTTGCAGTGATTCTCAAATCTCTTTGCCAGGGTCCAGGTTAAGCAATCTGCTCAGTTTTGCTCTTGGTAGCTTTTGTTCCCTGAGTGCCTTCTGTACATCTTTGGAGGACAGGAATGAAGATGGCGGCCTCCCAATCTCTGGCTCAGAGGAGCTGAGAGCTCAGGCCCCCTCTTCAGTGAGCCCTCAGAGAAAAGCAGTCAATCACTCCTGTCTCTCTGGTCTCCAGCCGCACTCCAAACTCACTTGGCCTATGATTGAGCATTTCTATCTCTGGTGCATAGCCCTATTTTGAGTCTCCAAACCAAGTAGATTCCTGCATTGCACTCCCACGCCACTCCCCCTAGGGGAAGAAGGTGAGTCTCCCCAGATCTGCCACTTGTAGTGTCCCTGCTACAACTGTGCCAGGCATCACTGTTAAAAGTAACCCTGAGCTGAAAGCCCCCTCCTTGGTTCTATCTCTGCAGATGGCTTCCCTGCTTCTTTACCCAGGAGCTCTGATGCACTTAGGCACCCCAAGTCTTTCTGTGACCCTGAGGGTCCGGAGACCACACTGTCCCCACGAGGGCTCCACCCTCCCCTGCCCCCGCTTAGCCTTTGGAGTTACATCCCTCAGTGAAGCAGATTTTTAAACATTCCAATTTTGTGCTGTGCTGTGCTACTACTTCCCAGGAGCCATCCATCCCCTCTACCCACATTCTATCTTCCCATATATTGCCTGAGATTCACTTCTCCACCCGTCCTACCTTCCAGAAAGTGGTCGCTTTTCTGTTCATAAAATTGCTGCTCTTCTTCTCTTCAATCTCCTGTGGAGTTTGCAGGTGTTCAGAATGATTTGATTACTATCTAGCTGAACTCCTGGGATGGATGATATTTAGATCTACTCCTCCACCATCTTGCTCCTATCTGTTGTTCAAATACTTTAAATGGGTAATGATGAGTTGGAAATTTCTAGGGCATAGAGTTTCCATAATATAAATTTAAAATTATCATATAGGACTTCTATTTTTAAATGACAATATTTACAGTATACTAGAAATTAAAACTTTTCTACTCTTTGAACTTTTAATGATAATTCTTAGACTCAACTCAAAGTTATGAAAGGGGAATGTAATGTTTTGAAAATTCTTTTAGGAAATCATCACATAAAATTATTTTTTAAAGATTTATTTACTTATTATTTTAGAGAAAGAGAGTACATAGGGGTGGAGAGGGGCAGTGGGAGATGGAGAGAGGATCCCTAGCAGATACCAAGCCCAGTGCTCCTAGTGCATAGCCCACTGAGGGGCTCCATCTTATGAACCTGAGATCATTACCTGAGCCAAAATCAAGAAGAGGATGCTTAACTAATGCAGGCAACTGGGTGTGACAACAACATAAAATTTCTGAAGAACATTAAATTGAAATAATTTGAGAGGAGGGAGGTATGTTACAAGGGAAGAGAATAGTGTACTCTCAAGTCATAGAAGAAAAATCAGTTAATCCTGGAAGGTGCTTTACAGAGGGAATCTTTCATGTAGGGACCTGATGGATGGCTGAAGTTCAGGTATCTGAGGGGATCCACCTAGAGTATGGTTAACATTTCTTACCAGGTCTGATTCCATGGCAAATGAAGGGGGCAATTGCATAGAACCCATGCAGAGAAGGGCACTGTGCTTTCCTTAACACTCTATGGTCACCCTCATGAAATTCTTGATAATTTCATTTTTGAGCTTGTGTTTTGTAGGTGAAGCCTATATTGCAACAATGTATGCATGAGCCCACCACCATTGTTTGCTGCCCATGAGCACAGAAGTCTGGCGGATTCACAGTGAGAGGAAGTTCAGCAAAACACACAAAATAAAGAGAAGAGAAGAAATGGAGGAAACAAGAAAAGAAAAGAGAAAGAAAGAGAGGAGAAGGGAGGATAAAACCTAAAACAAAATATACCAGATGTTTCAGTTCCTCTTTCCTAGAAAAGTCATCAAGGAAGATTTTCCATAATATTCCTCATGTTATCAATGCTCCTCCTCATTCTTTCTCTCAAAATGTGCATCACAGACCAAATCCCTGGAGGAGGCCAATTTGGTTTACACTCCTGAGCATCACAGACAGAGGCAATAAATAAGCTTGTTTATCAAGCCCATTCACCAGCGGAGGCTGGGACACAGAGCTGAGCTGAAGACAATCATTGAGCCCTGAAATCAGAGGGCAAACAAAGATCAGTCATTTCAGCCCAGATTACACATTCAGACCCTTCTGTTCCCTCCTACCACACCCACCTGATCCTGCACTGAAACACAGCTTTCACCTCCTTAACTAACTCTTTGTGTTCAGATACCCACCTTCTGCACAAGCTGTCACTCAGGCACCCTCTACCCACACAGCCTCACACTCAGCACACCCTCTCACAGAGCTCCAACTTCAGCGGGCTCCACCTGCAAATGCATGTCTTCCATACAGGTATGTTCTTCAAATCGGGTTGCCCAACAACTGTGTTCTATGACAGAACACAGAGTTAAATTTTTGGGGTCTAGGTCAGAGATGGGGACCTCAAAGGCCAGACCCTGAGACCCTGGGATGCTCGCATTATGGACCAGAATGGCACTCCCTCCGTATCCATATCCCATTGTTTCCTAGGGGAAAAAAAATTCTAACTCTACTCTAACCATAGGTTTTCTGTCCCTCACATCCCAGATGGTCACAGAGTACTAGTACCTTATAATTCCACTTGGAAACTTCCTTAATGGGCAAGAATGGGCTGGAAAGAATAGGGAAGGGAAGATGGTAGTGATTCCAGCTCTCTGCCCACCACCATCCAAGCCTTTCTCCCCGCTGCAGTCAAAGCATGTGTCAAGTCCAAGCCCAAGACCTTCATCAGTGAAGGTCTCTATACAAATAGGAAGGCCTCCCTAATTCTCTTTACATTTGGAATTCAGATAATTAGGAAAGTGTTTGCAGCCTTATGAATTGATATTTGACAAAATGCCTTGTTTGAGAGAGAGAGGAATTCAGATATTGGTCATAGTCATGGACATCTGGGTCAGGTAAAACTTGAAACTCGAATCAGGACCCCTAATTTCAGGACCCCCGGCAATGAACATGCTTTGTGATCTGGATGACATCAGTTTACTTCTCTGGACATTGTCTCCCTTCGATTAAGGGTGCAAAGGATTATGACACTCTATTTTCTCCAGAAGAGTGTTAGTAGATAAAGAGCTTGCCAAAAAAGGGGGCAATGATTTCGGGTGTTGAAATTTTTAACTCATCCAGACTACTTTTTGGTCAACTATAAACTTTGTGAAGGTAATAAACCATATGATGTCATTTCAAATTTAGAGTTGGAAAAAAGAAGTCCCAAAGAGGTTGTGGGATTATTCCAATGCCACATAAGGAACAGATGGGAAAGGAGAGAATGATTATAGAGTCATTGATTTTTTTTTTTCAAATTAAGACAAGCCAAAGAAGTAGAAGATTTATTCTCATTCACAGAACAATTTTGTTAAAGAATTAGGACCAAAATTCAAGTTTCTTAGAATCCCACACAGGTTTCTTTTAAGTAGACAGTGTGCTTACTAAAGGGGAATTTTTTGAATAGTAGCTAGCCTTCCACAGCAAAACCAGATTCCCTTCCCAGAATATCTTCACTGTGTCCCCAGGACAATAATTTTCTGCCTTAATCAGTTTCTGTCAGCCCTTGGTATGCTCATCAAGCCTCGGTATTCAGCCATCACACTGCTGGGCATGCAGGACCTTTAGCTGCCTTTGCCACAGTACTGACTGCTGTCTCTCAACTAGACTGTCTGATAGCATCTTTAAGATTCTTGAACAAGTTAATAACAAATAATTTTCTCAGCCTAAAAAATATTGTCTCACAGAAATATCATCATTTTATGTGAATGAACCAAAGAACTGATGTGGCAGGGCAGTCATACCATGACCCTTTGTATTGAGCCCTTTATTTCCATGCAGAATGGCAGCTTCCAACCTCAGTGATGATGGTCTCCCAGCCACTCTGTTCCTGACAGGGATCCCAGGGCTGGAGTGGGCCCACGTCTGGATTGCCATCCCCTTCTGTGCCGTGTATCTGGTAGCTCTGGCTGGGAATGCTGCTCTCATCCTGGTCATTGTGACAGACCGGGCTCTTCATGCACCCATGTACCTCTTCCTGTGTCTTCTCTCACTCACTGACCTGGCTCTCAGTTCTACCACTGTGCCCAAGACATTAGCCATTTTGTGGCTCCATGCTGGTGAGATTTCCTTTGGTGGATGCCTGGCACAGATGTTTTGTGTCCATTCTATCTATGCTCTGGAGTCCTCAGTTCTTCTTGCCATGGCCTTTGATCGCTACGTGGCTATCTGCAACCCACTGAGATATACAACCATTCTCAACCATACCGTAATAGGCAAAATTGGCTTTGCTGGGCTTTTCCGTAGTGTGGCCATCGTCTCCCCATTCATCTTCTTGCTGAGGCGACTGCCTTACTGTGGTCGCCATGTCATGGCACACACGTACTGTGAGCACATGGGCATCGCTCGCCTGGCCTGTGCCAACATCACTGTCAATATTGTCTATGGGCTGACTGTGGCTCTGCTGGCCATGGGTCTGGATTCCATCCTCATTGCCATTTCCTATGGCTTTATCCTCCATGCTGTCTTCCGCCTGCCATCTCAAGATGCCAGGCACAAGGCTCTGAATACCTGCGGTTCCCATCTCGGAGTCATCCTGGTCTTCTACATTCCTGCCTTCTTCTCCTTCCTCACCCACCGCTTTGGGCAGCACCGAGTCCCCAAGAATGTGCACATCTTTCTGGCAAACCTCTATGTTCTGGTGCCTCCTGTGCTTAACCCAATCATCTATGGAGCTAAGATCAACGAGATTCGGAGTCGCCTTCTGAGACTGCTTCACCTGGGGAAAATTTTAACGTGATATTTGAGCAGTTTGGAGATAAGGAAAATAAGTGGGTATGGTAGCTGTCTAGGTGCATTTACATGGATGGAGATCTCTGATATACCAGAAATGTCTTACAGGAGATGAAGCACTGGAAAAAAGGAGAAAGTTAGATGAATTGAAGGTTTCAAAAATTATATCGAACATACCATAATCCTGAGGCTCCCAGTATAACTCTGAAGAGCTCAGAAAGATGATAGTATTTTTACTCTTGGGAATATTTTACAATTAGGAATAAGCACGCCTTGGAGAAAACTCAGCAACTATGATATGCCAGTGTAGAATGTGCCTAACATTTTTTTCTTTTGCTGCAAATGTTTCTGTGACTTACTAAAGATCAAGTCAATTCCTCTTCTTAATTGAGTCCGGGCTTCATACTGGAATATTCTTCTGTGAGTCCAAGTTTTTAAAAAAATGAACATTTGAGGTAAATTTCATCTGATTTCCAATGCTTTGGGTAGCCATGAAGAACACAAAGTCTAAAGTTAGAGTACCTGGGTTTGAGTCCTTGTTCCTCTGCTTACTAGTTTTCTGGCCTTGAACATGTTGCTCAATCTTTCTGTGTCTCGAATTAACCAACTATCAAAAGGGTGATGTTAATATCTGACTCTTTTTTTTAAATATCTAACTCTTAATGCTATTTCTAAGATTAAGTAAGTTAACAAATGTAGGAAACTCAAGATAGTGGATACATGTAAAATTATCAATCAATAAATAAGAGAATCTTATATAAACTTGGAAATTATTAGCAAACTCATAAGTTATTTAGGACTATTTTTCATTACATTATTTTACAGGGTTATTATAATAACTATGTTATACAACATCTCTAAAATATTTAGATAGCGCTTGGGATATGAATAGTGATCATTAAAACTGTATTTCTCCCATCCCTCCTCTGGTCTTCCATTTGGAAGTCCCTTTCCTTTTAGCCATAAAGTTATCCCTCATTCAGGAATCATAGAGACTTGGTCAAAATCCAAATTGCTTTTTTGATAGCCCTCCTTTGCCCTAGTTACCTCAGTTCTAAAATACCCAAGTAAGTCCCCAATTACTGCTCCCAATAATTCAAAATGTGATTATCACCTGCAATTTAAATTAAGAGTCTGTGACTCAGAGAGGCTACTATTCCTAAGGTTATGCATCTATATGAGCCATAACTCATGCATTATCCAGAATGCAGTATGTGTGAGGACACCAACCTGCACGAACACAGAGCAACAAAAGTGAAGACCCTTTGTCTCTTGAGGTAGTAAATGGTAAAGAGACCCAGCAGTGTAATGATTTCAGGAACAGAGAAAAAATATATAAAAAGAAACTGAAGGTGGAGATGGGCAAGGGCACGGCTGTTCTGCCCTTGGAAATGCTTCTTCGTGGGTCTTGTGCCTGCTCCCCTTAAGATGCTGGCTTCATTTGATCAAAAGGTCCCCCTCAAAGGCAACTTGTCACCATTCACACTAATTATCTGTCATGAAACTCACATTTTCCTTAGAAGAAAGTGGGGATCAGGAACCCAGGAAGTTAGTATCAAAGGCAGGGCCAGGATTCAGGACTCTGGACTCCATAGTAATATTTAAAATCCTACCTGTGGACTAGATTTCCAGGACCACAGACCCATAAGGGACTTGATGGACTGGTAAGGAAATTCAGGTGCATGAGTAGGCAAATGATGTGTCTGGTATTGGGCCACAAGTCCCATAGCTTGCAACCTAGTGCTCCCTCATCTCACCTACAAATTCATTAACCATTCATCATAACTCTTGGGCTATCCTCCTCTTCTAGCTATGTCTGTGGCCTCAGAGGAGGTCAAAGGAGAAAGGCCAAATGGATAGCGCAGAGACAAGAAGAGGAGAGGTGCAGGATCCCACAGAGGATGACACCGTAGCACAGGGATCTAGCTGCGACCTATACTCTGGACTGATACCCTGTGGATACAGCACAGGGCCTTCTTCCCCATGGTTTTCCCTTATTGACCAAACTCCAAGTTTCACATACCATAGATAACAGACAGGTGGAGGATTCTGTAGCCCTGACAGCAAGCTCCACTCCCTAAAGCTCTGGTTTAGGCTTTTTTATCATCCTGAAGCTAAAATGCAATAGTTCCTAGAAGAGAAGGGTGATGTGTAGAAGCCAATAGGCCTTCTAGACGACTGCAGGTAGCAGGATCCAGTCCCTAGGAAGACTATTAACCTTATTGCCAAGATCTCCCATCCCACTCAGGTGTCTAGCTACAGGAGCCCACATGATAAAGGAGAAAGCATGCTTCTAGAAGCCCAGGAGACTGCCCTGCCCATTACACCCACTTCACCCCCAGACTCCTTCTCTTCCCTGGGAAGAATTAGCGTACAACACTAATCTCAGAAATTAAGACCAAGATCCTGGTTCCACAGGAAAGTGAAAATTAAACTGTGTATCAGGATCATTGATGGGCCATGCAGTCCCAAAGATATTTTATGCGCGGTCCCTGACTGCCACAATCTTCAGGTCTCTGGGCTCATGCAGTGTCACAACAAAAGTCACAGTGTGCAGCTCAGAGATGTCCATCTTTCCAAGCCCCCAGGAAGCATGAGATTCAGTTGTTTTTCAGCCCAGGCTCCTAAGGCTGGCTCTGAATCTACGGTCTCTGGTGTCCCCAAAGTAATGTCTCCAATATGCTTCCCACCTCTCTTTCATCAGGTGGTATCCTGCTATAGTTTCACATGGCCCTTGGTCCTCTGGGGCACATTTTGTGTGCCTGTACTGTGAAGCACCTCAATGACTGATCAGAGTCTACAGAAGAGACTGGGTGGATTGGGAAAATATTGGGAACTTTCACCAAGACACAGGGACCCCAGAATGTAGAGTTGGAATGGGGCCCGGGGAAAGATGTTGAACTACATCTGGCCATGCTGAGCAGAAGTTCCTCTGTGACACCCAAGAGAAGGCTGGTAGGCCTTGGAAAGTACAAATAGACTCAAAGATGAAGGAACCACGAACACAGACATTAAGAGTCACAGCCAAAGATATGGTCAAACTCCCTGAAAGATTAATAGAGAAAGAATCAGTGTAACATACTCTCAGGAAGCACCGCTCTATAAAAATAAAACCAAAAAATGGATAAGAAAATAGATTAAATAAAACAGCTTAAAGAAATACAGGTCAGTATGTCAGATTCTGTAGAAAACTGAAAAAAAAAAAAATGGGAAGACAGGGAATGAGAAAGTTTTGAGAAAGCTTCTACACCATCCTGGGGGTGTCTGACTACAGAGGATGGGGAGATGGGGTCACTTTTGAGAAATTCAGGGATGAAAGGAGAGAGAAGTTCGGTGGCTGAGAGGGCAGCAGAGTCAAGGATTTTACAGTGTGAAAGGAAGAAGCCTGCCCAGGAGGAGAGGATGGGGCTTCAGAAGTGGTGGGGGTTCACCTCACAAAGCACGGATCCTGACACAAGTAGGTAAGAGAGAAAGAGTCCGAGCTGAGACGGGGGTTGGCCAGGCTTTCTATAATATGGAGAGACTAGGTCTGAAGATGGAGATATTTGGTGAAAGAGAGTGTGGCTTCCTGGGGGAACAAAATCCAGGATTCTTTCAGAGTCGTTCTGGAGTTGGACCAGAGGTGGCTTGTGATGATGATGACGATGTTGGTGAAGAATTAGATTGTTGAAAACACTCAGAACATCCCCACCTCACATTTAAATTTGGAAAACACTCTGAGATTAGGCGTATGAGAATATGTGCAGCCCAGACCCAAGACCCTATAACAGGATCAATCTCTTTCCCAAACAGCATTCTCTTCACCCACCTACCCCCAAACTGACATCACACATGAGATCCAAGCAATTTTTTTAATGTAGAACAGGCTTGGGCAGTGAGGGAGGGGGCTGTTCAAGTGTGCACATGATCTAAGAGGAATTCAAAATATGTTACTTCCCCTCCCCTCCAGTTCCCCTTCCTTTTCCTCCTTCTCCACTGTGGGCATCCACTGGAGGGACCTGGGCCTCTGGTACACCCAGCAGCTTCTCAATGGCAGCATGAATGTCTCCTGTGGCCATGAGGGCCTGTAGATTGGCATCATGATTAGCAAAACCCATGGCCTTCAGATGCTCCAGTTCTTGCTGGTAGCAGCCTTCAATGAGGAGGGATGAGGATAATGAGGCTTGTGTGGACTGGGAGCAGGCATTGGACAATGCATGGAGAAGCTGAAGAATGGCCAAGGTGGGCTGCACAGAATCTGCTCTCTGAATCTGCCCTCCACCCCTGGTTTTAAGGGGTTCTCTAGTCCCATGTGACCTACCTGGGCCCCATAAGCAAGGTTCCAGCCCAGGCACCTCCTTGGACAGTGTCTGCAGGCCCTTTTCTATCTGGATCAATGCCTGCAGTGCACGTGGGTTGGTCAGGATGGGAAGTAGTGGCATATGATGTTGCAGGGGGCTTCCACTTGCCAACTGGTGTAGCAGAGCTGGATTTTGCTGCAGGACATGCAAGGCTCTACGCAAGGCAGAGGGTGAGGGTCTCAGCTGACTGGTGAGAGGGGCTCTCCCTACAGGCTGCTGAATCTCCTGGGAGAGAAGATCCTGACTTGACTTGACATCTGGCACACCAGTCTCACATCCTGAATTGGCCTGATTTGAGGCCACGCCCCTGGCCTGGGTAACATCTCCTACCCTGACCTTCTGCACCAATGGCCTTGCTGGGGCCAAGGCTGTGGGGATGGTGGCAGTAGTGTCAGTATCGATGTGAGCACTGGCCACCTCTTTGCAAAGCTCTGAACCTGGGTTGTGGCCTTTGGAGGTAACCAGTGGGGCCAGAGTGAAGAGCATGAGCTGCTGGATATCAGAGCAGACTGGACGCATGGCATTGTCACCTCCTGGCACTACCTTCAGTGCCTCTAGCCCCCGCTTATCTTCCTGCAGGAGTTCCTGTTGCCGGGACGGGTCCTGCAAGGTTTCCAGAGCCTTAAGAGCTGGTTCAGGTTTCTGTACTAGCCTTGAGGATTGGGGA